AGGTTTAGGTCTTTTTATTATTAAAAAAAATAATACTGAAACAATTAGCATGATGTACCAAGGTTTATGGTCTTTTTATTATTAAAAAAAATAATACAATTAGCATGATGTACCAAGGTTTAGGTCTTTTTATTACTGAAATAATAAGCATGTCGATGCAGAGGGATGGGGTTTTTGTTATTTTAACAGGGTTCGTGCAACATTTTCACTACAAAATTCCAGGACTTTTCAAGTACTTTCTAAGCATAAAAATGCGATTTTAAAGCAGTATTTGAAGATATTTTTAGATGTTTGCGGATGTTTTAAGTGCGAATTTTTTAAAATAGCCACATTTCAATCCAAAAAAAACAATCAACATGTCAATTTTATCAGATTCAAGGAGTTTTCCAGGAGTTTCAATTATTTTGGAAAAACCAGTATTTTGAGAGCAGAGTACATAATTGGTGGGAAACATGGGTGTTTCTGGATTTGCTGATTCTGGCATATAWTTTTAGAGCAGATTTTCAATCTTTTATTGAGAAATCACAAATAATTATATAGCAAGAGGTAAAATCTACAGATTTGATAAAATAGTTTTCAGCAGGGGGGTGTACTCCCCTATATTCGCTATACAGGGACGTGCTGCCAACCAGGGTATCGTTTTCAGTGATTTTACTCTGGAACTGGGTATCGTTTTTAGATTTTACTCTGGAACAGGCTATCGATTTCAACAAATTTTCTTTGGAACAGGGTCAGGGTTTAATTCCAGAATTATTGATGCTGGGTAAATATTCACGGGGTAAAAATTCGGTCTACATGCAGGCTAGTGCTGGATTTTCTCTGGAACAGGGTATCATTTTCAGAGATTTTACTCTGGAACTGGGTATAGTTTTCAGCGATTTCACTCTGGAACAGGATCAGGGTTTTGATGTCCCAGCGGCACACCCACACCCAAGGGATGTATTAGTGTGAATATGTATGTGTATAATATATATATGACAATATTATCTTGAATTATGAGGAAAAAACAAAACTTCATGCTGTATTTTGACTAAAAATCTATACAATTTATTCAGTGTTGGTAATTTCTTCTAGTGACAATACTTTATTCCTGATTTCAACATATTTAGGACTGTAGCTACCATATATGGTTGGTTACCTTTCAACCACAAGGAACACCCTCTCTTTTCAAAAAACACCATAAAMTAAGTGTTATCTCTGACAAATGGACCAATATTTCATAAACCAGACCATACTGAAAACTTGTAGCTACAGCACTGCACAATAACTGGTTAGAGTATCACAGATACTATATTATATTACAGGGGCTGGTTGTACTGACGGTGAATAGCCTTGTCAATCAGACAAATACTTATGGAGTGGATAACTAATATTGTCCTCGGGATAGCGGTATCACCTTTTGTACAACTGGTCCCAGAATCCTTCCTGCAAYGGGAGAATCTACGTAGCACTCAGTTGATGTAATATATTTGTAAAGATATAATACAAAACACATAATACAATAGAATGAGAARCAATGGAATACAATACATTTTATGAATACATTACATCAACTGCGTGCTACGTAGGTCACCCCTTCCTTGCAACCCTTTTGCCATTCTCATACCCAGACCTTTCTCAGGAAGGAAGCRGARAAAAAGACTGGATGCAAAAATGCTCTTTTGCGTCTCWAAGACATAATCAAGTTCCACTGTAATACTGAAGAAAACTTTATAAGTTAATGTGGCAAAATTAAATTCAAGATTATGACTTTTCAGATGAGTGTTTTGGCATGATTTTATCTTTAGATAGKGATAATTCATGCCTTAGTTGAAACCTRCTGACACTTGTTGAATAAAATCCCTAATTTGATTTTGGTATTGGTGGGTTTGTGAATGAAGCACAGGACCCATAATAAGTGCATTTAGCTGTTTCAACAATAACTTAGAATAAAACTAATTATTACACAATTTGACCAATTCTGACACAGCAATAATTCGGAAAGCAGCTTGGTTTGACCACTAGACAATTCAAATATTGTGAAAAGAACTAACCTTCTTTCCTTTTTTCATTCTCACTTTATATACAAAACCTACTTGYTTTTTTCTYCTTTGATCAATAGCACACGTTTCGTTTTCTCGCAACTATATCAAATCGAAGATAACACTCCTAGGAAATAATAGCTAAATAAGATTATAAATGTTTCCACGAGTCTCATCTTTGATAGTAAAAATTAAATAATTTTGTGTATACGACTTCTACATTAAGAGCAGGTGCTCGTCCACTTGAATATACCATTATACGTAATTAAAAGCACCTTTTTTTAAATACAATGATTTAAGACTTSCCTGAGAGAGTTAGAAAAAGCATATCTTTTGACCCCTAGGTATTCCCCAGAAGGAGCTGCAGTCTCATAAACTGCAAGGGGGATTATTAATTGCGGATATCTTAACATTTTAGATGTTTTAGACTGCCTACCAACTAGTTCTATAATTGATGTGGCATATATAAATGTTTTAAAGTTTGGGCTTCCTGTGTCACTACAAAGGGATCCCAAAGAGAAACAAATGGACTTGAAGGTGCAGTTTGTAACTGGTGGTGTCTATCTGAATTCATAAATTGGTTGACTATGATCAGGAATATGTGTCAGGTTAAGYGATTGGAACCATTCTGAACTACGATGATAATAATATCCTTCAATYGAAGCAGTAGATTTTTGTAAACAAATATAGTAAAAGCCAGCAAATGAAGCCCCGTTGATGTCCCGTATCTTGTGGTCCGGTACAAGAAATTGTTCCTGGAAAGTTGGAGAAACATAACATTAAACAAGACTACAACCAGGTRTGTAGCATGGTTATTTTAACTCGTACGCACACTTCAGGGACCGTAACATATTTTGGATTGGGAGGCTACCGACCACAGACGGCGGGAGTATTAAGGGGGGTCTAGGGGTCCTCCTTATTTTTAAATAATAACTCTTAGAAATGTGATTTCCAGCATTTTGAGGAGCATCAACAGCATTTAAAGTCATCAAATCCCAAATATTTTAATACTTCCTTGCAACTAGCATGTGCGTAAAGGATACTACGTGCCTGCTGTTGCATGACTTCATTTCCCTAGACTTCCCCTAGAGCCGCTGTTCAGAAGTTCAACATTTGTGAACTTAAAAATTTCAAATTAAAAAAACAGCAGCTGTAACATATTGTGTTCATTTTGTATTTTAGAGCCTCTAGAAATATTTTGGGAATGTGTACTTGAAAAGTCACTTTATCAGTGACAAACAAGAAAACATGATGAGAAATGGACAAACTTTGTGTTAATCCAACACGACGAAATTGTACTATTTGTGAGCTTTTACTCAATTGCTAATATTATTAAATATTTATAATACATTATTTTATCTAGATTTATCATTGGTTTTTATTTCTTGTACTTACTTTCCATCTCATAAAGACAAAGTCTAAGTTGTCTAGTTGGGTATAATCAAATGTGTCGGAATTAAAAGTTTTTGCAAACTGATAAAAAGCCAGGAATTTTCCCTGTGGTAAAAAGAATAACAAAAAAATTGTCATTACAAAATTAAATTAAAGAGTGTTTTTATGAATTGAGATCTTACCCAGTGTTTTCTATCAACGTCTTCATCTGCATCCTAAACCCAGAAAAAGTTCTTATTATATATATAAACTTCAATGAAATACTAGTAAATCTCTAGTGCAAAAAATATTCCCATAGACCTGTTACCATAGATACTCTGTACAAGATTGTCTTATTTCTTGCCTTATAAATATACATTTTGATATAATACACAGAACATTGCATGGGCGCATGGAGATACAAATTTTATCTTTGAGTGTTCCTTCGATATCTCAATCGCTTTGCTTACTTTAATGGAACACTCTATGATAAAATCCATATCTCAGCGTGCCCATGTACATCATATACAGTCAACTCTCTCGTAAGCGAACACCTCGGGATCAGGAAAAAGTGGTCGCTTACGAGAGATGGTTGCTTACGAGAAAGTTTCTTTTACAGAGTTTATATGGGAAACAATTATAACGGGAAATTTAAAAAGTGGTCGCAAAAGGGATATGGTCGCTTACGAGGGTGGTCGTTCAAAGACAGTCAACTGTAATAGTTGGCCACTCAGATAGTTTAATGTTATAATTGTAATTAAGTCTTTTCTGCAATATTAATAAAAGTGCCTAGTGGGCACTTATCTAATGAATTAGTATAATATAGTAACTTCTATCTACATAATAATACTACCTACAATAGGAAACATGCATGATTTTCTGTGACGCCGAATTTTGTTTCAAATGCATACAGTAGGCCAGAAACTAACATGGGTACCCAGGGGTAATCTTATGTTGTTCTTTTCTCACTCCCAGAAAAAATATCCCTGGGCACGAAGTCTGTTAGACCTTGTTCTCGATTCRAAATTCAAAATGGYKGCCRGTAARTYAATCAACCAATCAGAATGTTCGAGTGAATCACTCGACCAATCAGAGATTTACCGACCGCCATTTTGAATTTCGAATCGAGAACAAGGTCTAACAGATTTTGTGCCCAGGGGTATTTTTTCTGGGAGTCAGGAATGAATGATAGAAKATTGCCCCTGGTTTGAGAGAGAATCATGCGTGTTTTCTCTTGTAGTTCACCTACAGTTTTATTATTATGTTTTGCTCTGCACTAATGTGTATTGAGCACTGTTCAACTGCATCAGCTACTAACTC